TTTGCATCGATCATATGAGAAGACATCGGAGCGGGTATAACGCACACAACAGGCAGAACGAGAAACTCCTTTCCGACTATGTTTACACTGTAACTCCGCATTCTAGCATCTGACATGCCTAAAGCTATAGCAGATACGATCGCACTGACCATATGAGACGACTTCAAAGAACATATTACGGGAACAATAAGCAAGTGAAGATACTTCGACAATATCAGTCTGCACTCTGTATCTCTTCATTTTATCATCTCACATGGATACCTTCGGAGCATATCAGTTCGCAACGATCCTATAAGACGACATCGAAGCGAGGATAACGCACACAACAGGCAGTACAAGAAACTTCGTTTTCATCTATGTTCACACTGTAACTTTGCATTCTAGCATCTGACATGCCTACAGCTATAGCCGATACGATCGCACTGACCATACAAGACGATTTCGAAGGACATATAATGAGAAGAATAGGCAAGTGGAGATACTTTGACAACATCAGTCTGCACACTGTATATCTGTATTCTATCATCTCAAATGGATACTTCCGAAGCATACTAGTTTGCGACGATCCTATAAGACGACATCGAACGCTAACAACAGGTAGAACAAGAAACTTTTACTCCGACTATGTTTACACTCTAACTCCGCATTCTAGCATCTGACATGCCTACACTTTTAGCAGATACAATCGCACTGACCATTAAGGATGACTTCGAGGGAATTTCAACGAGAACAATAGGCAAGTGAAGATACTTCGACAATATCAGTCTGAACACTGTATCTCTGTATCCTATCATCTCACATGGATACCTTTGGAGCATGGTAGTTCGCAACGATCAAATGAGACGACATCGAATCAAGTATAACGCACACAACAGGCAGAACAAGAAACTTCGACTCCGACTATGTTTATAACCCTTATACGTGATGAATTCAAAAATCTCAGGTTACACTGTGCGAACGGTCAGCTCATATAGTCAGGGCAAATGGGTCGTGGTTCATTTACTCACCATGTCATGTAACTTTGTCAAAAATATAACAATTAACATGAGGAAGATAGTTTCAACAGATAAAAATTATTTGGACGCCATCTACAGAAAATAAAGTTCAACAAACTTCTTTCTTAAGCCAATCCCTGTAGAAAGGAATTGTCTTTGCTGAAGGATAGGAAAACAAATCAAACAAATAAAATTTAGGTTCATTTACTGACTAAAAATGGTATTTGGAGAAGTATCAAATCTGCATCACAAACATTTATAATATGTGTCACAAATAAATTTGACTGTACCTGAAATGCAACTAGGTGTGCATATTCATTATACAGGGTGTTAAATGAACGATCTCCTATCAGTGAAACTTGACACAATGATCATCGGGATTCAATAAATCTTATCAATGAAATCAATTGAATATTCCCCAGATATAATGCATTACACCTTCACGGATATAGAAATATTGAATAATGAGTGAAGGAGCTGTACCAGTTTCCGACCAATTTTCAAAATTCCTTTTTCCCCAGATTCTACGGAAATTCCGCGATGTGCAGCGGAAAGCCCCATAAGAGCCAATGTAAAGCAGACCAGATTTTTCCCTAGGTCTACGGACTTTTTCAGCGAATTTTAAGCTCAAAAATAGCAAAAACGGTCCCCGTCAAGGTCATCTGACCCCGACGAGCGAGCTCTACTGATGAGAACTGCAATAACACATTGGTACCAATAACGAGATATATATACAGGACGTTTAAGTTGAATAAAAATTAAAAAATACTACTACACTTTAGGTGGGCACATCGAACATATTAGACGAGTAACGTATAACGTATGGCAGATGACGTTTGACAAATGGCTGATGACAGATATAGAAGATCGATGACGCGTGATCAGGCGACCTGCAAGCCGGCTACCTCTCAAGTCATCAGTTCAATAACAAGATGAATGAACTAGGTGTTCAAGTAGAATAAAAATTGGAAAATATATTCAAGATGTCTCACACTTTATGTGGGGCTTAGCAATCATAGTAACGTATGACGTATGCAGATGACGTTTGACAGATGGCCGTTGACAGATTACAGAGATGACACGTGACCATCAGGCGACCTGCAAGCTGTCAGTTCAGTAACAAAAAAATGAATGGTTATATACAGGATGTTTCAGTTGAAAAGTAATTTAATAAAATATACAGGGTGGCCCATGGTTAGAGACCACCCTACTTTTGTGTTAAACATCGATTAAACGTATGACAGAGGACTGTTGACAGATAACAAAGATCGATGACATGTGACCAGGCGATCTGCAAGCCGGTTGCTCGCTAGCCGATGATTCCGTTCAATATACAGGGTGTATACATATATGGCGACTCATGGGTAGGCCACCCCACTTTTGGCAGGCCTTGTAAACATATTAGACGAATACGTCGAACAACTCTTAACTTAAACTCATTAAACTGCTCTGTGCTTCACCAAAGGGAAGTTATTCCGGTTAGCCCGTGAAATATGTCAAACAACTCTCTACCAAAACTCATAAAACAGTTCTGGTTTTCGCTAAAGGTATGCAATCGAACACAATGTAGACAATTTTCATAATATATTCAATAATCTATACAAATAGCAGCACATTTCCCCACCACCCTCGAGGTAGTGCCTTGTGGCGCGTTGCTTCTTTTTATAGTGGGAAGCTCTCCGGTAGACCTACTTTGACCACTTGCGACGATAAATAATTAGGTTAACAATTTTTCTCAGACAGCACGAAGCTTTATTCCTAAATTAATAGAAACACTTCATTAATTCGTCTGATGAATGTTTTCGCAGACAGCACGAAGATTCATTCCTAAATTAATAGAAACACTTCATTGATTCGTCTGATGTATGTTTTCGCAGACAGCACGAAGATTCATTCCTAAATTAATAGAAACACTTCATTAATTCGTCTGATGGTTCTTTTTTGTTCAATTGCTTACCTAATCATTCATCACACATTTTACATAAAATTAATTAATTAATTATCAATTTCCATTGCATCACCATTGATGGAATAATGGCCCCATGGTAACGCTTCATCGATTCCTGGTATAATGTATCTCTTATCATCATTTGGACTGAGAGCTATCTTGTTCTGCGTGATTGAATGGACCTGGTACTGTTTGGCTCTAATCAAGTTTTGTGATACTGTTTTCTGTTTGGCTGTTTCCAGACATTCAACATAGTCATTGAAAGTTATAGTTGTTTTAACAACAGACTTCTTTACACCTTTAGCCTTCTTCATTACACCCATATTCATGATTATATCATCGATTTCCTCCTGATCATAGTTTTCTGCATGCAATTCTGATCTTTTCTTTTCAATTTCATTTTCAGTTGTCAACACTTTGGTGGCATATAGTTTAGATCTCAAGCCCACATAGTCCGTCATTATTCGACTCTTGTTTTCATCTGACATCATTCCGAGCACTTTTTTATTGACCTGTGGTATTCCGAATTGGTTATTCATAGGATAGTCAGAGGTATCGAATCGTTGATGGCAATCTCGCTTCATGACTTCATATGGATCTCGATTGGTAATCTCATAGATGAGCGAGTCAGTATCAGTGTACAAAACGGAGCAATCATGGAATGTGTGAACCATATAGTCGTAGTGAAAGTCATATAGGGTAGTCTTGGCGAGATCGAGAATGGCTTGACCGACGTATATGGGCTTATTCAGCCAGATTTCCAATTTCCCGAGCTCAACTGCTACCAAGTTCTCATTGAAAATGATACAGTTCTTGAACTCGGGTTTGGAAATATACGACTCGGCGCCATATCTCCCTGCCCACTCCGTTAAAAGCCTAACGTTGACTCTCTTACGAATGTTCTCCATCGTTTTCCCGAAAACAGCGTTGTTCATCAGAGATTTTTCTCGAATTCATTTTTTGCCTGTTTACGTAGGTTGGTGTTGAGGTCAATATAGGATTTAAGCCATGAGGATTGTCGAAACTTGAGTACTCGGTGAATCTTTTTCAACACTAGCATGCTTCAGCGCCTGTTTCAAGGTGCGGTAGTGGATGACGTACTTCTCCTTATGATTTAACGTTGCCATCAACTCGGTAGGCTGAGATGATCCCGTTGGAGGCTTCATCGTCTTCGGATTGATGTTGGCGTTGTGGATACTCCAAGTCGACTTCCAAAATACATCCTTTATCAGCATCATCAGGAATAGCTGTGACGTCGATATTAGTGTCAGTCTATTCAAAGCCTCCATATGGTAACGACTGAGACATCGCCCAACCATATTGGTTGTTTACATCATAATACATCAAATCAATATGAGTCTGGCTTTGATGAATTATAATTAGGCATGTACTTGTTGTTTGCTTGAGCTCTTCGTTTAGAACAAACTTGGCTCAATCCTCCTCGGATACCTTGCTCAACAAATAGAAACATGTCTACATCGGTAAGCAGTTCCAACTCCTGCTTAGTATGTTTCAGCATGGCGTCCCACGTGAACCCTGGTAGTGTGAAATAGTGAGCAGGATCGAGACCATAGGTGTTGTGGCAGCTGGATCGAAACTGCTCAAAAACATCAGCTAACAGCATGATGTCCGTTTTCATGTAGAGGTCAACATATTGACCCAAGTCTTTACAGCCAAATTTCGACCATACCAGCTTGGCGTGAAGGTAGTGTCTACGGGGGGCATATTTACGTTTTCTATACAGCCAGCGCGATTGGTCGCTCTCACGAGATAGGGAATGGAGTGCATCCTGGAGCACTCCGTTTCCTAGCTGATATGCGCGACCAACGATAAACGACCATCGGCTGCTCTGTGGTGCATGGGTCAGGATTATTTACAGATGTTGTTTTCCACACTAATTTTCAGTCTGAAGAAGACACAATTTGACAATGGAACGGAAGTTTTACAGCGTTCGTGGTATTTTGTAGGATGTTTACTATTAATGAACGCTTTTTGCGAGGTATCTTTTTCGAACTTATTCCGCTGCTAGGGCCGGCCCGCTTGTATAGCTTTGGCACCTCTGTAAGCAGATGTTCTTCTAGCAATAGAGGTAGGTTGAACATTAATTCTGTGAGACTTTTTCTGACTAGTAAACGAGGAACATAGAGCATAGAACGAAGCTTCGCTGTCCATTTTCTTCATCTGCCTATTGAATTTCGTCACAATAGGCAATAGGGCGTAAGATGAGATTCCACGAAGCATGCTAATCTTTTTCAAGTTGTCCTTGAATTCTTTGAGTTCGACTGATCCATCAGTTTTAGTTTCGTTCACTTCAACCGAAAAATTATTTTCTTCATCAGGAGTCGTCTCATTAAGGCCATCTTCCGTTTCCCATATCATGGGTTCGCCAAAATCCACAGTAATTTCGTTATCTTTTTCTTTATCCATCTTTGAAGAAATTGGCACTATACTGATAGTATTTTCAAGTGTTAACGTAGCAAGTTCTATTTTGTCTAAAAAATTATTACAATCGTTGTGCATCTGCACACCAGTATTATATACTTCTTCTGGACAGTCACACACTTCCAACTTTGCATTGACCTGGTACGAAAATGTCTCATCTGCAGCTGAAGTAACTGTAAACTGATCTTCAGACACTTTCACAACACGAAGATCAACCGATTTTTTGCAAAATTCCGTAACATAAATTAACAATTCGTTATCCCTGGAGCTAGCATAACGCAACAATTTTTCTTTGTAGAAGTCCTCCAGTGATAAAGAGATGAATTCTACTAAGGATACTGTGTTGAAAGTCTTACATCTTTGCAGTACCGAATCCTTAAAAACTCTTATTGATACTTCTACTAAATTGTTTGTATTATGGCCCCTATTGCACAGTTTATTTCGAAAACAATGACACCAATCCTGTCTTTTCTGCCACATTTTGTCGAAATATTCAATAAAATTCATATATTTACTGGCGATTTCACTTTGAGGTACTTCTCCTCCATACCCTGGGATCCTACCAGGATTGCTGTATCCCCTCGATCACAAGCCTTAGCTAAGCTGCCAACTTCAACCTTGGTGGCCCTGTAAAATTCTTCTGGCCAATCCTGGTCCAGCCGTCCTTTTAGTTTCTCGAAGCTAACGAGATCCTTCTCGGACACTCCCTTCTCCCTTTCCCGCTCCCTTTCCTCCTTCTCAGTCCGCTGCTCGTACTCCCCCAGTTCCTTCGTTATGGTATCGGATACCTCACTAATATCGAATATTGCCGATTTCATCTCGGCATCCATACCTGATGAGTCCCTGGCAAGCTCCACTAGCGCTCTACTTCTCCTGACCAGCCGCAACACTGCAGCCCTCAGAGCCGCTGTTCCTCCTTCGTCTTTGGCCTTCTTGCTTTGCTTGGGGCTATCCTCCGACCTTTTTCTTTTGGAGACTATCTCCCTCACTGCCCTCTCTCTCTCCTGAGCTCTAGAAGCCTCGAGATCGTCCTCAGAGAGAATCAGAGAGGTCAGAAAGTTCCTCTCATACTCCTTCCTCTCCCTGATCTCCTCCTCCCTAATGGGAGACACTTCTCCCGTCTCAATTTGCTCCCGTATGCTTTTTTCGTAATCCTCCCTTTCTTCCCTGTCACTCATTTCGTTGGACATGCCCCTGTTACAGTCCGAACTCCTATCTTTGTTGCCGTCTTTAGTCCTTGGCGGTGTGAAGACCTCCGCCGTTGAATTTCCTATATCCCTCTCCTCTTGGAGGACATTGAACATGTTTCCCTGTTTTTTGTTGAATTCCATACTGTTCCCACGAGTAGCTAGGGAATGTTCAGTCCGCTCCTGCAGAGCCCCGCTTGCAGGAGTAAGGCGTTCTTCCCCGCCGGTTTGCCTGGTCCGGCGGGCATCGCTCGCGACACACTATTTCATCCCTGTGCCATGCACCCCGTCGGCGCGATGGAGCTACACCTTAGGGTTGGGAGACGCGGTAGCCAGAGAGTTGACCAAGCGGAGAAAACACAGCCGCCTCCCCTGTGCCCGTGAGAAAATTCCTGAAAATTGCAAAAATCGCAAAAATTCCTGAAAATTGTAAAATTTGAAAAAATAAATGCAATTAGCAAAGAACGCAAAAATTCCTGAAAATTGCAAAAATCGCAGACATTCCTCAAAATTGTAAACATATCTAAGGTTGGGTTACTAGATCTGGTAACATATCTCAAGTTAGGTTACTAGATCTGGTAACATATCTTAGGTTGGGTTACTAGATCTGGTAACATATCTTAGGTTGGGTTACTAGATCTGGTAACATATCCTAGGTTAGATTACTAGATCTAGTAACATATCTTAGGTTAGGTTACTAGATCTGGTAACATATCTTAGGTTAGGTTACTAGATCTGGTAACATATCCTAGGTTAGGTTACTAGATCTAGTAACATATCTTAGGTTAGGTTACTAGATCTGGTAACATATCTTAGGTAGGGTTACTAGATCTGGTAACATATCCTAGGGTAGGTTACTAGATCTAGTAACATATCTTAGGTTAGGTTACTAGATCTGGTAACATATCTCAGGTTATGTTACTAGATCTGGTAACATATCCTAGGTTAAGTTACTAGATCTAGTAACATATCTTAGGTTAGGTTACTAGATCTGGTAACATATCTTAGGTTGGGTTACTAGATCTGGTAACATATCCTAGGTTAGGTTACTAGATCTTAGGTTAGATTACTAGATCTGGTAACATATCTTGGGTTGGGTTACCAGATCTGGTAACATCTTAATCAATTTTTTTGATTGGAATGCCCAGTATATTTGCATATTTTCTGAAGCATTTCTGCTTCAAAAATTCCTGAAAATAGCAAAAATTGCAAAAATTACTGAAAATTGCAAAAATTGCAAAAATTCCGGAAAATAGTAAAAATTTCAAAAAATTCCTAAAAATTGCAAAAATCGCAAAAATGACAAAAATTGCAAAAATTCCTAAGAATTGCAAAAATTTTTGAAAATTGCAAAAATTCCTGAAAATTGTAAAAATTTGAAAAAATAGCTGCAAATAGCAAAAATCGCAAATATGCCTGAAAATTGCAAAAATCACAAAAATTCCTCAAAATTGTAAACATATCTAAGGTTGGGTTACTAGATCTGGTAACATATCCTAGGTTAGGTTACTAGATCTAGTAACATATCTTAGGTTAGGTTACTAGATCTAGTAACATATCTTAGGTTAGGTTACTAGATCTGGTAACATATCTTAGGTTAGGTTACTAGATCTGGTAACATATCCTAGGTTAGGTTACTAGATCTAGTAACATATCTTAGGTTAGGTTACTAGATCTGGTAACATATCTTAGGTAGGGTTACTAGATCTGGTAACATATCCTAGGTTAGGTTACTAGATCTAGTAACATATCTTAGGTTAGGTTACTAGATCTGGTAACATATCTTAGGTTGGGTTACTAGATCTGGTAACATATCCTAGGTTAGGTTACTAGATCTAGTAACATATCTTAGGTTAGGTTACTAGATCTGGTAACATATCTTAGGTTGGGTTACTAGATCTGGTAACATATCCTAGGTTAGGTTACTAGATCTAGTAACATATCTTAGGTTAGGTTACTAGATCTGGTAACATATCTTAGGTTGGGTTACCAGATCTGGTAACATCTTAATCAATTTTTTTGATTGGAATGCCCAGTATATCTGCATATTTTCTGAAGCATTTCTGCTTCAAAAATTCCTGAAAATAGCAAAAATTGCAAAAATTACTGAAAATTGCAAAAATTCCGGAAAATAGTAAAAATTTCAAAAAATTCCTAAAAATTGCAAAAATCGCAAAAATGACAAAAATTGCAAAAATTCCTAAGAATTGCAAAAATTTTTGAAAATTGCAAAAATTCCTGAAAATTGTAAAAATTTGAAAAAATAGCTGCAAATAGCAAAAATCGCAAATATGCCTGAAAATTGCAAAAATCGCAAAAAATCCTCAAAATTGTAAACAGATCTAAGGTTGGGTTACTAGATCTGGTAACATATCCTAGGTTAGGTTACTAGATCTAGTAACATATCTTAGGTTAGGTTACTAGATCTGGTAACATATCTTAGGTTAGGTTACTAGATCTGGAAACATATCTTAGGTTGGGTTACTAGATCTGGTAACATATCTTAGGTTGGGTTACTAGATCTGGTAACATATCTTAGGTTGGGTTACTAGATCTGGTAACATATCCTAGGTTAGGTTACTAGATCTAGTAACATATCTTAGGTTAGGTTACTAGATCTGGTAACATATCTTAGGTTGGGTTACTAGATCTGGTAACATATCCTAGGTTAGGTCACTAGATCTAGTAACATATCTTAGGTTAGGTTACTAGATCTGGTAACATATCTTAGGTTGGGTTACTAGATCTGGTAACATATCCTAGGTTAGGTTACTAGATCTAGTAACATATCTTAGGTTAGGTTACTAGATCTGGTAACATATCTTAGGTTGGGTTACTAGATCTGGTAACATATCCTAGGTTAGGTTACTAGATCTAGTAACATATCTTAGGTTAGGTTACTAGATCTGGTAACATATCTTAGGTTGGGTTACCAGATCTGGTAACATCTTAATCAATTTTTTTGATTGGAATGCCCAGTATATTTGCATATTTTCTGAAGCATTTTTGCTTCAAAAATTCCTGAAAATAGCAAAAATTGCAAAAATTACTGAAAATTGCAAAAATTGCAAAAATTCCGGAAAATAGTAAAAATTTCAAAAAATTCCTAAAATTTGCAAAAATCGCAAAAATGACAAAAATTGCAAAACTTCCTAAGAATTGCGAAAATTTTTGAAAATTGCAAAAATTCCTGAAAATTGTAAAAATTTGAAAAAATAGCTGCAAATAGCAAAAATCGCAAATATGCCTGAAAATTGCAAAAATCGCAAAAATTCCTCAAAATTGTAAACATATCTTAGGTTGGGTTACTAGATCTGGTAGGTTAGGTTACTAGATCTAGTAACATATCTTAGGTTAGGTTACTAGATCTGGTTACATATCTTAGGTTGGGTTACTAGATCTGGTAACATATCCTAGGTCAGGTTACTAGATCTAGTAACATATCTTAGGTTAGGTTACTAGATCTGGTAACATATCTTAGGTTGGGTTACTAGATCTGGTAACATATCTTAGGTTGGGTTACTAGATCTGGTAACATATCTTAGGTTGGGTTACTAGATCTGGTAACATATCCTAGGTTAGGTTACTAGATCTAGTAACATATCTTAGGTCAGGTTACTAGATCTGGTAACATATCCTAGGTTAGGTTACTAGATCTAGTAACATATCTAAGGTTAGGTTACTATATCTGGTAACATATCTTAGGTTGGGTTACCAGATCTGGTAACATCTTAATCAATTTTTTTGATTGGAATGCCCAGTATATTTGCATATTTTCTGGAGCATTTCTGCTTCAAAAATTCCTTAAAAAAGCAAAAATTGCAAAAATTACTGAAAATTGCAAAAATTGCAAAAATTCCGGAAAATAGTAAAAATTTCAAAAAATTCCTAAAAATTGCAAAAATCGCAAAAATGACAAAAATTGCAAAAATTCCTAAGAATTGCAAAAATTTTTGAAAATTGCAAAAATTCCTGAAAATTGTAAAAATTTGAAAAAATAGCTGCAAATAGCAAAAATCGCAAATATGCCTGAAAATTGCAAAAATCGCAAAAATTCCTCAAAATTGTAAACATATCTAAGGTTGGGTTACTAGATCTGGTAACATATCCTAGGTTAGGTTACTAGATCTAGTAACATATCTTAGGTTAGGTTACTAGATCTGGTAACATATCTTAGGTTAGGTTACTAGATCTGGTAACATATCTTAGGTTGGGTTACTAGATCTGGTAACATATCTTAGGTTGGGTTACTAGATCTGGTAACATATCCTAGGTTAGGTTACTAGATCTAGTAACATATCTTAGGTTAGGTTACTAGATCTGGTAACATATCTTAGGTTGGGTTACCAGATCTGGTAACATCTTAATCAATTTTTTTGATTGGAATGCCCAGTATATTTGCATATTTTCTGAAGCATTTCTGCTTCAAAAATTCCTGAAAATAGCAAAAATTGCAAAAATAACTGAAAATTGCAAAAATTCCGGAAAATAGTAAAAATTTCAAAAAATTCCTAAAAGTTGCAAAAATCGCAAAAATGACAAAAATTGCAAAAATTCCTAAGAATTGCAAAAATTTTTGAAAATTACAAAAAATTCCTGAAAATTGTAAAAATTTGAAAAAATAGCTGCAAATAGCAAAAATCGCAAATATGCCTGAAAATTGCAAAAATCGCAAAAATTCCTCTGAATTGTAAACATATCTAAGGTTGGGTTACTAGATCTGGTAACATATCCTAGGTTAGGTTACTAGATCTAGTAACATATCTTAGGTTAGGTTACTAGATCTGGTAACATATCTTAGGTAAGGTTACTAGATCTGGAAACATATCTTAGGATGGGTTACTAGATCTGGTAACATATCTTAGGTTGGGTTACTAGATCTGGTAACATATCCTAGGTTAGGTTACTAGATCTAGTAACATATCTAAGGTTAGGTTACTAGATCTGGTAACATATCTTAGGTTGGGTTACTAGAACTGGTAACATATCCT